CCAGGCTCTCAAGCCTGACCCACTCAGTTTTATGTATTACAGGTAGTGGCGCATGAGCATAGGTGTGATGTTTTGGACGAGGGATTACGGATATAGGCCTGTAGATATGAAATAATGTAGTAAGGCTTATATTGTACTGTTTATACTTTTGTTCTGTACGAACATGACATCCCAAGTCTTTTAATGAAATACATTTCTATGGAAATGCTTTTGATAAATCTTTATCATATTATTGTTTTGGGACAAATTCCGCAATCCTTTTATTAAAAGATAACTCTGATTTTGAAATAAAGTATAAACAAAACCGGTCTTTTCTGGCCGTGATTTTGGGGATGTCACAATACCTTTATACTTACCTATATACAATTTGGTTTCTCTTGACATGTCCTTTTAGCAATATTGAATCCTTCGTCGGTTGTTATAGTAATCCATAAAGAGTTGAGAAGAGGCAAAAGGTAAAATTATCTCCATTTATTATTCGTGCATGTGATTTGATGAAATTCAATACTATACTATGTTATTTTCATTTGGTAGTTGGATGGATTGAGCTGAAAAGACAAAAGGTTATTTTGTTCATTGAATATTCTTAATTTAAGTTCCTGTGAACACCTTCATAATGTTGGTGACTTTGACAAACTTCGTGCGCTTGAGAGGTTGATACTTAGAAATTGCATTGGTTTGCTTGATATTTGTGAATCAATTAGGCAATGTGTTGAACTTGTCCTCATCAGTGGCGGACTGTCTTAGGGGCCAGGGGAGGCCATGGCCTCCCCACTTTTAGGTCTCCTTATACCAGTAATTACATAGTCTGATAACCATGTTGAAAAAATATATTCTAAAATGACATCCTTGCCCCTCCCCCGACTTCCATATAATGTGAATATAAACTGATAAACCAGTTACAAAATTTTCGGAAGATCTTTAACAAAATCAAAACCATCCTTGAGCCTTGTTTCTTTACGATTCTTTAAAATATGGAAAGTTAATATCTATTAAAATCTATAAAACCCACGATCTAATCAAAATTACAACAATATAACCAAAGTTTGAGTTTAAGAAACTGAAAAGCGTAAACCTAAAATCCTAAGTTTATCCCGCCGCTAGAAAACTATTTCTTGAAACTCACCGGAAAAACACCACCCATTAAGGTCGTTGTTGTCTTGTGCCTTTTTCTGGTTGCCGGATTGTTCACCACACTCGTGATAGTTGCCGGATACTCCTCTTTGCTAGTCGCCGGAGCTTGGAGCCTTGGACCGTTAACTGTTGAGACGTAATCTCCGTCGTGTGATAAAGTGCTCCGCTGATTGCTCCACTGATTTGGTATTCGTTGATTTGGTCATCGTTTCTCACTTCTCTTGTTAGGTTAGTAGTTTTGCTTCTCTGCCTTTTTCTTTGTATCTTTGTTGGCTGTTTGCTTTCTTTTTGTTTATATTTATATTGATTACTTTTACTATTGATACCCTACACTAGTCATCACTGGGACAGTAATAGTCAATAAAGTAGAAATTTTGGTATGTGGTTTTGACAACACACTCCACATATCTGCCATTCATTTATATTTTACTTTAACTTTATTATATTAGTTTATTATTAATAGAATTATTGTTTTATTTTGCATATAAAATCATAAATGTGGATAACATACGTTGAATTAGTAAAATTATTTGGAATTATTGATTATTCGAATGTTCTTTTTAAAATAAAAAACTTCATTTGTTTATTGTTATTTTATATTGATATGTTTTGATTGCTAGTAATGTTGGTTGTGTCGTAGATATCAACATGAAAAAACAATCAACTATTGATGGGTTTTTTAAAAGAAAACATACAAGTTCTGCTCAAGATTCAGAAAAGTCACCGGAGATTGTTTTAGATGAAGATACCCCCACACCCACTGTTCCTAATACTGATAACCGTTTCAAAAAACCTCATCTTGAAATTAATGAAATTGATCTTAATACACTAGAACGGGATCCTGGTTTGCGTAAGCAAATTTATGATTATCCGGTGAATGAACGAGATACTATTAGGCGAGCGTATATTAATCTTGGTCCCTTTCAACAAACACTTTCTATATATCCAAAATCGGGGCCAGAAAATCATAAACGTAGCTTTCAAGCTTCTTGGTTTAAGTTATATCACTAGCTTGAATATTCTGAGAGCTTAGATGCTGCGTTTTGTTTTCCATGTTTTCTATTCAACAAGCCTTCTGGAATGGGACACTACGGCCAACAAGCATTTACTATAGATGGATTTCAAAATTGGAAGAATGTTGGTGGAAAAAGTTGTGCTTTTTTGCATCATATAGGGACTGAGTGTACATCGTTTCACAACATTGCACAAAAATCATGTGATGATTTGTTAAACGAGGTGCAAGACATACGAAATGTGTTTGAGACATTTACAGAAGAAGAGCGTAAAAATAATAGATTGAGACTAAAAGCCACTATTTATGCAGTGTGTTGGTGTGCCTTTCAAGGAGTTGCATATAGAGGCCACGATGAAGGACCAGATTCCATAAACAAAGGAAATTTTCGTCAAATGTTGAAGACAATTGGCGATTATAACACGGAGATGGAAGAATTGTTTCGTACAGCTCCTAAATATGCATCATATATATCATCGGCAATTCAAAAAGAGGTTCTAAACCTTATATCAATTAGGGTGAGGAGGATGATTTGTGCGGAGATTGATGGTGGAAAATTTTGTTTAGTTATTGACGAAGCACGTGATCAGTCTAATAAAGAGCAAATGTCAATTGTTTTGAGATTTGTAAATAAAGAATTATTTGTTATGGAGCGTTTCTTTGGGCTTGTTCATGTACCTGACACTACAGCACAAACACTTAAAAATGCAATTTATTCTGTATTGTCACATAACAATCTTGATCTTAAGTCAATTCGTGGCCAAGGGTACGATGGTGCAAGCAACATGCGATGTCATTTCAAGGGTTTGCAAGCATTGATTTCAAATGATTGTCCATATGCATATTATATTCATTGTTTTGCTCATCGATTGCAATTAGCATTAATGGCTGCTTCGCAAGGAGTTGTTGCATTACAAAAGTTTTTACTCGATTATCTTTAGTTATCAATGTTGTTGGTGTTTCCTCCAAGCGTGCCGACCAACTTAGAGTTGCATAAGCCGAAGAAATTGCATATAAGATTTTTATTGATGAGTTAGAGACAGGTAGAGGTCTTAATCAAATTGGTACATTACAACGAGCTGGTGATACTAGATGGAGTTCTCATCTTAAATCAGTTTCGGGCTTAATCAAAATGTTTAGTCCAACTTGTGAGGTTTTACTTAAAATTATTGAAGATGGCACCGGTTCAATCAAAGGCGACGCAGATTCAGCATATGAGACTATTACTACATTTGAGTTCATTTTTGTTCTTCATCTCGAGAAAGAAATAATGGAGATCACTGATTTACTTTGCCAAGCTTTACAAAGACAATCTCAAGATATTTGTAATGCATTGAGGCTAGTTGCATCTACCAAATTGTTATTACAAAAAATGAAAGATGAAAGATGGGATGGGTTGCTCTCTCTTGTTATGTCATTTTGTCAGGAACACAACATTGATATCCCCGATATGTCTTCTCCATACTTTAGTAGAGGGGCTCGAGCTCGTAATGAGCGTAGTGATCATACACTTGAACATCATTACCGAGTAGATATATTTTACGAAGCAATTAATTGTCAAATAATGGAACTAAATCATCGATTCAGCGATAGCTCTACAGAGTTGCTTCGACTTTCAACAACTTTAGATCTTAAAAGTGTTGATGAGCCTTTTCGAAGTGGTGATATAATTGAGTTAGTAGAGAAGTTTTATCTTAAATACTTCAATGAATAAGAAAAAGTAGTTTTGAAGATTCAACTTCAACATTATGAGATTGATGTTGTTCAGCATGCATATTATAAACTATTGACATCTATGTCAGAATTGTGTCAATGGTTGATAAAGACTAGAAGAGTAGCAAACTTTCATCTTATTTATCGAGTAACTAGTCTCGTACTTACTCTTCCAGTCTCTACTGCTACAACAGAGAGATCATTTTCAGCAATGAACCTCATTAAAACAAGGTTATGGAATATGATGGAAGACGATTTTTTGAATGACTCATTAGTTTTGCACTTCGAAAGGAAACTTGCTGAAGAGATTAGTTTAGAAACAGTTGTAGAAGACTTTAAAAAAGCAAAAGATCATCGCGTTCCACTTTGATAAAAAATGTAATAGTCTTTATTAGTTTTCTTGTTTACACTTCTGATATGTCAAAATTTTGAACCAAATAAAACTTGTTTATATAGTTTAATTATGAAGTTTTGATTTCGGCCCCCCTAGTTGTAGTGCTTGTGTTCCGCCCCTGGTCCTCATTGATGTGAGCTACTGCAAGATGCTTGAAAAACTTCCAAGCAATATAAGCATGTTAAAGAAGGCTAAAACAATGTTGCTAAATGGTTATAATCTCGGTGAATCTCAAATCACGAAAATGGATATTGATTCAATGGAAATATGCATCTTTAACAACATGGGCATAAAAAAGAGAACCTCTTTCTCTGCCTTTATGGGTGATGTACCATGCGATTTGAAGTCCTTTGCTATGTCTTTACCGTAGTCTTTAGTAAAGTTGTCACTTGCAAATAATAATATGTCACATGATTGCTTTCCCTTGGACTTTAGCTGCCTATCCATGTTAAAGCACTTATATTTAGATGAAAATCCTATCAATTCCATGCCCAGTTGCGTGAGAACCCTTCCTAGACTTGAGACACTTAGTATGGGAAAGTGTAAAAATTTGAACTCAGTCGAGTATCCTCTACGTAAAGTCAAAGATTTGTTTATTAATCCTAATGATGGGTATTATGTAGACAAAGTTTTATTTGATCCAGAGAAATGTCCCCACTCCAGTTATCAGTAAACTAGAAAGATTACCCATGGTTAGATTGCAAACTTGGGTCATTCGAAGTTGAAGGTATACTTAAAATCAAAGCAATGGTGAGTGTTGAGGAAAAGGTATTACGTATCTTGTGCTGGAGTAATTTGGACTTCCTTAACAAAAAACATAGTTCTTCAGAATCTATAATCCAGGTTTTGTCTGGTTAACATAACTCAGTGACTTTATATGAATATGTATAATATAATTATTATGGCGATTGACTAATTCATGTTGTTATATTTGGCAGATGTTTTATGAATTTCGAATATTCAGCACAATATACGTGGCGAAGGAGATGCCGAGTTTTTTTAAGTATAGAATCGTGGTGCCATCAATATCATTTACCATCCCATCATCATCATTATCATCTCCAAACAAGCTCCTTACAGGAATTAATTTCTGCTCTCTGCACACATGGCGAACAGTGGATCAAACACCTTCATCTGTAGATGATCAGTTCCCTACATGGCCAATGGTGACTATTAGTAATATAACAAAAAACAGTATGTGGATATACAAGCGTTACATTGACAGATATAGTCTAAATCAAGAGTGTAGGGCGATGTTAAGACATTTGATGTTTGGGATGAATGAGATGGAAGCTGATGACCACATTTCTATTACTGTTACAGAGCCGCTTTATGAATCTGTAAAGGAGTGTGGGTGAGCCTTGTGTATGATGATGGAGAAGAAGAAGAATGAGAAGAAGATGCATTGGGTTATTACAAGTCATGGAATCACATAATTGGTGGAGGTCTCTCTCCTTTTCAAACAATAACAGGACAACACATCCTAAACAACAAGCGGTTTTCTTCACGTGGCATTAGCTTGTTTCCGTATCATCGTAAATTCATTGTAGATGGTCCCAACTTTCAAGGTAGATGTGAATTTTGTTAAATATATTTTTGTTGTCATGTATTATGTGTAAGTGTAATGATCTCATCCATTACCAAACTTCTTTGAATAGATGGATAACGACCCATTTATAAAAGTTTTTATTTACAAAATCTGAAAAATAAAATTTCTACTTCTAACTTTTAAATGAATTGATCCGTCTGAATAGATCTATGTTAAATCGTTAAGTCTTGATATGTTGGATTGGGACCCAATACAAACTTCTTTGTCCAAGTGGATGTTTGTTGATAAATATTAACATATTACTTTTTATATGTTTTCAGCATAAGAGAAGGGTTGGTTTAGAGCTCTATCCCCAAGGAAGCATAGCATACTTCGTTTTAAGGACATTTGGTTGTATCTTTGAATTTAAAATTTTTTTATATCAACAAAATTAATTTTCAAAATATTTACAATTCAAAAGTTTGACATCGATGAGCCTATTGAGTTTTCTTGTTGAGAATTTTAGTCAAACAATAGCTGTACTGTAGTTTTTTACTATAGTATTAGTCTTTTCCTGAATGACGTCCCTCTCTACATGTTTAGAGACAACATTTACAAGATGCTTTCTGTGTTCATTAATAGAAATATTAAAATTTGAAAAATCAAATACTTGATCATTTTGCTGAGTTGTTGATATTGGATTAGCATTCTAGAAGGTGTTAAATGGAGGTGGTTATTTGTAATCTTTTCTCAAAGATGATTTCCTCTGTTTGAATTCTTCATAAATTTGTGGAATTTCGTTGTTGTAAAATCCAAAATTTCATCACATTTTTGGGGAACTAATTTTCCTCAACCTTTAAATCAGATTAATTTGCCACAAATGCACTGGGTTTGCTTCATAGTTTTCATTTCCTCCAATAAACTTTATATAACCATGAACTATTATTTGATTACCCAAGGTCATTGGTTCCCCTCTAATCAATTGCAATGTTTGACCACATTTTATTCGACTTTAAACAATCAGTTTTTCCATGTTATATTTATTCTCTATGTATTGATAAATTGCTAACATATTTAGCTATTTAGATTATTGTTCTCTCTCTTTACTATTGACCTCCTACACTAGACATGAATTTAATATTTATGTTTTTTTCACTTGAAGCCTTTTCAACTTGCTAACAAGCATACTATACAAGTCAAGGGTTTCAGTTAGTGACTCTCTAGCGGATGCTTTAAAATTGTTTTTCGTTTAGGCCTTGTACTCTTCTATTTTTATGGACATGTTCTGATCCTTTGATTTTATTCTTTAACATGTCCCACATTTGTTTAGCTGATTCACATATATGTACAAACAAATTTAAGGAGATCTTGTTGTATTGTATTACCATTGTGTGTCAAAGTCACTAAGGTCAAGTTCTCACATTTCCATGCATAACCTATAATAAATGTTTATGGTCTTCCATGTTCTAAGAACTTAGAAGCCATGGAAATATAGTCGACTATGGTGTCATGGCGTCATGATGAGTCGTTAAGTCATAGAATTTTGTATCATATCTCTATATACTTACGTAACTTTTAAAATTTTCTTACTTTTACATAGGGTAAGGGGGAATCTTCAAGGTCTCATCCTTGACATGAAAATGCTTTAGAAAGATTGGCTGAATGACTGTGTGAATTCAACAATACATGCATTTACAGAAGAATTAAGATGATTTACTTCTTGTCACGTTTAGTAACGACTTATCTTTTCTGTTTTTGTTTTGATAATTTTATCTTTGATTGCAAAAAAAATAGGGGAAACAATATGAATGGTTTTTGAGTTAATTAATACACATGTAAAGAATATGATGTAAATTGTAATATGATGTAGTCTAGCAGAGTTGTGTCACTATCTGGTTGGACCACCCCACATACCATTCCCATCACATCATCAACAAATGATTGTCACAGTTACATACATACCCGATACATATTCTCTGGTCATTGAAAAATAGTTTAAATAGATTTCTAAAAGGAACAATCTCAATTGCAGACTGAACTAGAATCTCGATTATCATTTAAGAAACTGTTAATTGGGGAAATGTTCTATATCGTGTTAAAAATGATACTCTCCCGGTCGTTCGTGGCATTGAGTATTACGATTTTGGCACTTTCGTTCACAGTTAATGGAACAAATTGTAGGGTGAAATGGTTAATTTTGAACTTGGGAAGATAGGTTACTTGATTATTAATTTTGTTACACGGGACATTGGTTAATAGTGAAGAAGCTTTATAGGGCTATTTGGTGATAAGGATGATAAGGGATCGATAGCAAGTCTTTTGCACAATTGAGATCGAGATCAAGTTCTCATCTAACATAAAATGTAGAACAAAAAAGTTGCAACTTTGTGCATTTGCCATCAGTCTAGATACAAGTCCAATACACACAATATAAGGTAGTCTTGCCCTCTTGTGCCATGTGTGACAAATTAATGGGCCTGCATGGTTGACTAGATGAGAAGAAGACGAGGGCCTTAACGTCTTTCGCAGTTTTGAGAGATCAATAGCAAATCCATGTTCTACCTTTATAGAAATCTAGATCGACCATACAGTCGATTGGGTGATTCTTCCCTAAGCCCACAACCAAACAAGAAACAGGAAATGAGGCGGAAGTCACGCATCCCACTGAATGTCGGATGTTAATTTTATATCACCCTGATGTATATACTAAGTAATCACATTGTTACTAACCATGATGACTCTTTGTTAAGTATATTATTATGTGAACGAGGCCATGTTATATCCATGTGAGTCCTTATAACTATATTGATGGAAGTTAAACCCTACGACGTTCATCAGACGTCGTTAATGTTAATGATGCTTGTCACCCAGAACGACTGTAGCTCAGGATGCTAGATTGTCAGTCCCGTATAGATCTATACACAAACTCACGCTCTTCGTCCAGGATACTTTGATTCATAACGTTAGACTTCCCTAGGTACTTAGGTATTTACTCGAAAACGTCTCTAACAAATTTGTTCCCTCAATGAATTCACGAATAATACAACGAAAACCCTTTTTGTTAATAAAATTTAAATTGGTAAAAGTAGTACGTTCGTTCCATAAACTATACTTAATATAGTTGATAGGTTCGTTTTCCGTGTTATAATCTGTGCTTGTAAAGTAGTTGCGTCTTAACATGTTTTGTAAATTGTTTCTAAGTCTAATAGTCACATTGTTTGTCGTATATAATAAGTGTCACGTTCAAATGCATGTTAACGATAAGAAAATATAATAAGCAAAATTATATTTTTAAACAAAAAATTACTTGTGTTTTACTTGTATTCCCCACCCCCACCCCCACCCCCCACCCCCCTTAGAAAAATATGGGGGTATGAACTCACCTCAAATGTGTGTGCTCGGTTGAGTTGAGAAGTGCTAACGGTGATCCTCAGATTAGAATACGTGACAGCAGTCGTATCTTAAAAATAATCATCCCCGACGTGGTTTTTAAATTAATATGATATTAATTTAAATAATAAATTAAATAATGTTGTAATTAATAATTAAGAAATTAGATAATACTTTAATTATGTAAAAAAGACTTACAATAATTATTTGGAATTAATTGGAATGTTGAAATGGGTTCATGGTTGAACAAAATGGGTTTACGGTTGAACAAAATGGGTTTACGGTTGAATCAAAGGAGTTCACGGTTGGATCCGATTGCTTGAAGATTTGAAGGTGGGTTCGATGTTCTTGATGAAATATGGGTAAAAGTTATGAAGATTTGAAGGTTCATGGATGATAGGTGAGAGGATTTTGGGGAGTGTTTACAGATGGAAAATGAGGGAAAAGAAGGTGTTTTCGCCAAAACACTTATATATAGGAGGTGTTCACAGTTCATAATGGGCCATGAAATTGAGTATTCGGATCCTTAATGGATCCTTAATGAGTTTTCGCCCCAATTGGGCATGAGGATTGTGTTTTCGGATGAAGGCAAACTGTACACACAATTTTTGAATTAAACTTCCAATCCGTAAACTCTTTTTCTCTAATTAGTTTGGACCGTGAACTACTTTGGCATTAATTCCCTAGGACGTAAACTCCATTTAGAATTGATTACATTGGGTGAAAACTCATTTAATGATAATATTTATGTTTTAAATCGTTAGTCTTTTAACTTATGTTTATTTATAACACCCTATTTTAGCTTAGGTTTCAATCCAAACCTCTTTGTTAGCTTTTTAAAACAAACCCTAAGGCTATAGATGATAAAATGCAACAAGAATTGCAATGCAGTTTCACTTGAACTTGGTTAGGGTTTATGCTTTACTTGATCTAAAAATTTCGAGTTGTGACAAGGTTGATGGAGATGGCAAACTACTCAAATGAGAGCTTCTCTAAAGATATCCACCAAGAAAGAGTAAACCACCATAAATGTTAGTCTTCACTTGCAATGTGTTGTTCTTCATTTCTTGTACCATTTACAAGAAAGGAAGAAAGGAGAAAGGAGCTATAAATCTTGACAATGGCAGCCCTTATTTTAGAGAGTTTTCTTGCCAAAAAAATCAGCCCTTTCATGTTAGAAATGCACCCTTTAAATACCTCTACATATGTACTAAAGTCAAGCATTCAATTAATGAAGGTATGATGGGTGTTATGAAAGAATGGATGTAAGAAACAAAGCCACACACAATCTCTTTCTTCATCTATATGCCTACGACATTATGAAGAAAAAAGAGACACATAATGTTTCTTACACTCAAGCCTTGAACTTCTAGTTGGAATCTAACCAAAGTTGTAAAAGTCGCTCGGCGGTAGCTCGAGGGTTGACTAGGTCAAGCGATT